CGCTAGCTCGGGAACCAAGAAAGCTGGGAGGCTGAAACTTTCAGGAAATGTTCCGAACTCATCTGCAACTTAAATTTATCAAATTCAGTCCTTCGTTATGCGTGGTTGCCACGAGCGGCACCGTGAAATTTTCTGGCTGGAATTTGGGTAACTCGGGAGCTGAAAAAGCTTGGAACTTGGGATTTCAAGGGAATGTTCCCTCTCCAAGTATAGCGTGGATAATTAACTTCCCGAAATTCGAGGACCAGTGTGTACGAGAGGTTTCTAGCTAGCGGAATTTCGAGTGATCTTATTACAGCATGAAACACTGCAAAAACGCATTGGCCCGCCCAGTGCGCGTCGCCAATGATTATTATGCATTTTTGCTGTACAGCGTTAAAGATGAGACGGATTGGGAAGGGCTAACACCAGGCTTGAGAAACTGCTGCTTTGTCGTTACCGAAGATAGCTTGCTTCCAAAATGAGAAAAAATAGGAAAAAAACGCTCGAAAACAGTGTGTAAAAATTTAGGCGCTTTTTGTCCAAAAACACTGCTTTTACATGAGATCCCGACATTCCTGCTTGGAATGATTGCCTTTGGCTGAGCTTCCATGGCCCTTACTTTCCTTTTTATTTCTCTAAGTAAAAATGCAAAAAAGGCAATCTTTTGTGCGCTACAGCAGCCTGAGGAGAGGAGGCTGTTAGGAGGAAGGGATGGAGTTTGGCGCGGTCTGAAGGATACAACTTGCGTATTTTTATATTTTGAGTTTCCCGAGCTGCAGATATAAATGAACTAGAAGCTTGTCTTGAATCTGTAAATTTGCTTTAGTTCGACAATCTTTTTATGTAAATTGTGTTTCTGAGTCGCTTGCAAAACCTATTTGGCCTATTCGCAAAATGTTTTTTTTTTTTTCAGTGCTTTTTAACACTGCTTGTAAGATTTGATTGCGAACAAAATTTGTGAATTTTCAGATAAAACAGGCAAAACGGCCAAAGAAAATACGGAAATGAATCTTGTTACGGATGAAATACCCTCACTGGGTATTGCTGAAGTTGATAGCAACGAAAATTCTTGCACCGCACGATCAGCGTGTTCAGCCGGTAAGAATTCTGTGTCTTTAAAGCGGAAGGATGTTTGTTTGGATCTTCCCTCCTCCCTTTGCCTCCCTTTACTCGTTTCCCGTTATCGCTGACCTATCTAGAATTTCCGAGAGAGGGAACTAAAGCCAGTGTGATGTGCAGCGATCGTGGGAGAGGGGGGGGGGAGGGAGGGGAGGCGGGACGGAAAATTGCCTAAGAAAATATGGAGATAAGTCCACAAAATGCGTTGCTTGTCTCCATTATTATGTTAGAAAGGACGGAAGGTATCAAAAAGCATCAGTCTTGGCTTTGTGACAAGGCTTTTAGGGAACACTGGATTCCGGCAATCAGCTCACCTGCGCTGATTTGTCAGCGATTTCGACTAAAAGTAGAAACACGGCTCAGCACATACATAAATACACACACACACACACACATGCATACACACATCATAAACACACATCACACATACATCACACACACACACACACTTAATTTGTTCATCACACTCAAAAACTTGAACAATCTCAAGATTCGTCCTTAATTCCCTGAACTAGAATATACTGGGACAGTATGCCCTGAAACGCGAACATATCCACATTGCAGCCGAAGTTCTGTTGTAAATTCTCGAATTATTTAGGCGATTATTTTTCAGGAAGGACATCGGAAGGACTTGATGATGGTTATGCTGCTGAAAATACTGGCATTCAAGAAGGCCGTAGTGGTGTTACATCGCATTATAAATCTGAGCCTTCAGAGATATCCCAGTGATTCTTTACCCGCGTAATTCTTGTGCTTTTAAGCGTAGTTCCTTTGCCGCTCATAAATTTTGTGCAACAACGGCAATAAGCCGACTGTAGCAACCAGGTTGACCCTGAAAGCTCAAATCGCGAAAACACGACAGATTATAGCATGAAGGAATAGTGTGAGAGAAGATAAGAGTGAGATAAGACGTCCCGGTCCATTAAGTCGTATACATCTTAACTAAACACCGCGACAGGACCTTGTCACTATGACGATCGCAGTGCTTAATGGAAAAGGAAAAGAGAAAGATGACAGGACGCCATATTTACGTTGATCTGCATCCCCTGTCCCTCACTTTTCTATTTTGAAAACTGCTTAGTTCGGATTCTGATGGTTGCTGCTTGTTTGATTTGTTATTTGAAATGCCATAGATCCGAGTTTATCAGTTCTTTTTTTATATGCTAACAACAAGTACAATACCAATTTTGTACAGCATGAAGAAGAAAACGTCTCATCAGACGTGGCAAAATGTTTGCAAGGGGGGCGGGGGGTACTATCGACAACTGATACTATATGAACTATAAAATTATAAAAAATAACATATTTGGTTTATTTGGCTTGTAGCACATGTACAAAAAAAAAAAACAGAAAGCATATTCTGCAAAAGCAAATCCCGTAGAAGTTTT